GTTTTGGTTGATTCGAAAAAATGTTGATTCGCAAAACGGGGGATGGAAACAGTTATGTTCGAATTAAGTCTGATGTAGCGCACCTCTCTCCATGGTGATATTCACACTCCGGGTTTGGAAGGCGGTAATGCATTTACAAGCTGGTTGCCTACCGCCAGAAAACGTAGAATAAGAAGAATGCGAGACTTGTTTTGTTTCCGGTTCTGCGGAAAACTCTCGCTTGTTCGTTGTTTTCACCAAAGTCCGTTCATTTAATGGAAACACACAGGATTCGTATTTCTTTTAATGCGCATTTCCCAATGATTCAAATCACTTTTGGTTGGAAACAAAGCTAATGTCTCTTTCCAGAAATCATGACCTGGTTACTCAAGATTATCCACAGACCTTGTTGTGAGCAGCTTCATGTAGGAACTGTTTTCTTTCACTGTGCAGAGGGAAGTGTGCATCTACTGCTAGCTCACTTAGCGCCACTGAGCTAGCTAACACTGCGGCTCAGCCAAAGAGGACGCCATGAATGTTTACACCTCGCTCTGTCACGAGCTGAAGCCTCTCACCCATGAGTAGATGCACACTTCCTTCTGCGTGGTTATACTGAACTTTATTCAATGTGCAGAAGGTGTTTCAGTCATGGGGCCAGCGTAACAGAACACGTAACCCAAAAGTCTTAAATAGGTTATCACACAAAATCAATCTGAAATATCAAATAGCGTTGCCCAACATTCAGATAATGACAATGTGATTATATTTCGGAGAATGATAGTGATGTCTTTTGACCGTGCTTGCACACATTTTTGAGGACTGATTGGAGGAAGTTGGATATAGTAACCAGGTGGAGACTTTAATGTTCGTATCACTATGCTAGAACGGTCTACTAACTTAAAGGGACAGTTCACCCCAAAATCAGAAATCCATATTTTTCCTCTTACCTGTTGTGCTATTTATCATTCTGGATTGTTTTGGTGAGAGTTGCCAAGTGCTGGAGATGCCAGCTGTACACATAGAGGTCATAGAAATTCCCTTTTCTCATTGGCTTGACATGACCGTGTTTGATTTCGGCCCTCAGCTTGAGTTTGAGGTCGTATTTAGAGGAATTATCTCAGGATACTTGCTCTGGCTCAAAGACTAAGGAAGCCAGTTGCTTTTGTGTGCTCTAGAAATGTTGACAAATAGATTTTGTGCTTTAGCATGGATGGATTTAATAACCAAGTTTAGCTGTTGGATTACTTAAGCTCTCATTACTCAGTGCCGATTGGTTTGTGTGGGTTTGTACATACTCACAAGAACGTATACTTTCCTTCTACGTTGGATTGACCCAGATGAGAACACCGTTACTGTAGGCTCATGTCTCTGACAGGTGCTGCATCTCACCGACTGACTATGTTCACTAACCTCTGTACTGACAGCAGTGTTTCTGTGTGGGCTGCTGTAGGTACTGGAGGTATAACGAGGACATGAGGACCATGGATCCAGGCTATCCCAAACCCATCAGCATCTGGAAGGGCATTCCTGACTCTCCACAGGGGGCTTTTGTGGATAAGGCCAACGGTACGGCAGCTTTATGGACCATGTAACTACTCAGTGAGATTGGAGCTAAGTAGTTTTGCACACTGGCATTGTTGTTTGTGAGACATTTAAAAAAAGATCAAGAGCAACACCTTCAAATTCTGCAGAGACATCGAGTTTGTCTGGTATGTGTTGCTATCACTTTAGTTGTGAAAGCAACAACACAACAAAAGAACAGGAAGTTGTCTGAGCAGCATCTGCCATCACTTCAGCAGTTTTATGGTTTAATTATCTGATTTTCTGTGTGAATGATTAAACAGGTGTAAGGTCTCTGTTTAAAATACTTATTAAAGGTCAGAGCACCTGCACATATTAAGTGCAAAAAGGAGAGTGATAAACAGAGGAAAAGAGGAAGTCAGTGCATTGTTAGCTATTTTGATAATTCATTACTTGTTTTAGTCATTTTTCAAGCAGAAATGTCAAATATTTGATTAAATTACAATTTTAAAAATCTTTCTGGAGCTGCAAAACATATGAGCCTTAGCATGAAGGTAATACAGGCTGTAAATTAGCCTCATTTATCAACATTCAAATAGGTCTAAATGAGCATTCATTAATGTGTTTAACCACGTGGTGGCTACTCTGCAGTGGACTGTGTATGGTCAGCCTATCTGGTACTTTGACTTTGCAGCGTTGGTGGTGAAACCAAATCTGTCCTAGCGCTATTAAATTCTCTATTTTCCTTTGAGACGTTTCCTTTTTTGGATTTGGAATCCATAGCTAGCCGAGGTAGGAAGACTCAAGACGAGCCAACGCCAATTGAAGTTAAGCAAAATTTAGGGGAGGCTGCATCATGCCTTTGATGTACGATGCACATTTTAGCTGATGAAATCTTAAAACGTCTTTTGTATCTGCTCTACAGGCTAAACAGTTTTACATCTGGAAAATGTAAGAATCACTTTAGGCCAACAACAATAAAAATGAAATTAAAAATGTTAAAAATCCACTGGAAAAAACAAAATCCACCGGACAAAAAAAGCCATTAAAGAGGGGCTTAAGAGCCGCATGTTGCACAGCCCTGAACTAAACAATCAAAATGATTGCACAAAAATAATTGCTAGTTGCAGCCCTACACTACTCTTCAGATGAGCACAGCACAAAATTTCTTGAAGACTGATTTGAAATTAATTATCCTTTTACCTTACGGGACTCATCAGACAGACATCATCAGAATTTAATTTGTGTTTTCTTCTTATTGTTCTCTCAACATTAACTTTCTGAGTTGTGCGTACTACGAACGATCTGCCACTTTTGAAACAATATTGATATTTTTCTGTAAAACTTTGTCCCTACGCTAAAAGATCAGCCTCATTCATAAACAATGAAATCAAAAGCACACAGCAGGGAGTGGACTTTTTTTGTTGAGAGACATAACTAACACATAGTCACTGATTCGGCTACTGCACAATACAGACGTTAATGCAACTGCACAATACTTGCTCTTTGCAAAGTTGATGCATATAAGTGACTTTGTTGTGTCCCACATCACCTCCCTCCAGGCTTTACCTACTTCTACAAGGGAAAGGAGTACTGGAAGTTCAACAACCAGATGCTTCGTGTGGAGCCCAGCTACCCGAGGTCCATCCTGAGGGACTTCATGGGCTGCGATGGTCTACCTGCCCCAGACCCTGACTGGGGCTGGAACCCGCCAGTGGCAGAGGAACACAACAACTACGACGCCGGCGACGTGGACGTTGTCATCAAACTGGACAGCGCAGGGGGCACGGAGAAAGCAGTTGCCATCGCTATTCCCTGTGTCCTGGCTCTGTGCATGATGGTCCTCCTCTACACTGTTTTCCAGTTCAGGAGGAAGAGCACACAGCGCCACATACTGTACTGCAAGCGCTCCATGCAGGAGTGGGTCTGAGGGACTGTTACGGCTCTGTATAGAGAGGGGTGTGAAGCTCTGATAGAGGTCTAGTTATTACTTGAAGCCCTAAGTACAGTAATTGGAAGCACTGTAAAGGGTACAGTACATAAGGATTGCCATGTTGGCAGATTTTAAAACGGCTTGAACTCGTAACAAGCTGAGAGGAAGCAAAACGATCAGCAGAACTCGACAGTGAGAGAGCCACATCTCCTGTGTCCAACTAATATGTATGTATCTGCTTTGACTTTTTTCTGTATCTTGGAATGAACTCAATTAAGGGAGACAGAGTTAAGCTACTGTAAGTGGGACCTTTGTCTATCCTCGTCTCTGCACGCCGCTTAAAAAGCCCCTAGCACTAACTTCAGTGGACAAATTAGATATAGGCTTCTACTTTACTTTCATTTCTTAATTAAATCGCTCTGAGCTGTGCTTTTTTTTTTTTCATCTAGGGTCCCTGTAAAAGATTATTCATTGTGTGGAGGACTGATACACAAACCAAATATGACCTTTTCTTCCAAAGAGGATTACTACTCGATGTTGTTTTTGATGGGATATTTTCCCTCCATGGATCGAACATTGTGGCATCATACTCGAGATTTTCTTTTGCCGTTGGTATTCACGTCCACCCATCTGCTCTGTAATCTGTGGGGAGAGGAAGCAGCCGTTAGTAAGAGCTGGGAACTCAAGACTGTTGTGGCAGTGTTTCTCCAAAAACGGGGGCCAAAAACCTCTCTGCAATATTTATGAGACTGCCTTAATCACAGATTGCTTAAACTCCCTTCTCTCTCTCTCCGTTTCTCTGGTGTGGATACTGAGTGACACAGTAGGAGTACAAACAGTGTAAAAAGGCATTCATTACTGCCCATAATGCAACTTCAAAACCACTAGTTAAGGACAGTTTGATCCACAGTGGGTTCATTGCTCTTGAAAATGTGCTAAGCAGTGCTAAATAGCTGACAGCAAGCAGGCTATCAGCTTTCATTTACTGCCTCACCGGAGGGGATGAGAGAGAAAGGGAAGGTTAGTTGTGCGTGTGTGTGTGTGCGTGTGTGTGTGTGCACGTGTGTGCGAAAGCGACAGTAATTACCCACACTATATATGTACTGTACTGCACTGTAGTGTCAGTTATTGAACAGCTAACATCCCGCTTCCCTGTTTTTTCCTGCCAAGTTTGGACACTAATACTCCAAACAGTGTCAGTCCATGTGTTTTAAACAGCTTCACTAATCCATTTCTCATTGTTTTCTTTTCAACTTTTGTACAAGGTCTGTAAGTTTACATACTATTTCACACAGCAGAGGACACAGAGAGTGTTTTGGGAAAGAAAGAGAAGGGAGGGAAATGAGACCCCGTCTATATGTATACAGATATTTTTGAAAACAGATATTTTACTCTATGTTTTGGCCTCTCGTCCATGCAAACAGATTTTCAGGTCACTAAAATGGAGATTTTTAAAACGTCCTCTAAGGTGCAGATTTTTTAACACTGGTACTATGTGTGGACGTGTAAAATGGAGCATTTGGTAATGACATAATTGCGCTTTGTGTAATGAGCATACGCTAGAGGCAACAACAATGGCAGACTACTAGTTTGCTAATGTTTTTTAGCACTGCTTGATCTAATAAGTTTTGCTCCACCTCAGCGTCCACCGCTTTGGATCAAACCAGTAGATGGTGGGACACGTTTAAGAGTGGGGTTGTTGTCAGAAAGACTTAAGCATGTCGAGAGCATCACGCATATGCCTGAGTGAGCTTCTTCATCCCGTATCAAACTGAAATCAGTGTTGATGAGATCTGTGATAGGTGTTTTGAAAAAGGTTACATCATGACAGCTAATAGCAGCTAGCATTTAGGATCGTTCTTGCGTTCTAGTTTGGATGAGACATTTTTGAAAACGAAGGTCTGTATCTGTATCTGTATATCTGTACACATCTAGACAGGGCCTGAGACGCATATGGTATTTCTCATTTTAAATAAAAGTCATCTCTACATCTCTACTCATTACAGGCACATCAGCCTCTCATTAGTGGCCAGTGCTGATTGCATTTACATCCTATCATTAAGTCACTGCAAATAGATTTTGAGGAAATGCAAAACAGAACAATTGTTATAAAGAAGAAAAACATATCTAAACAACAACAGCAATTAATCCACAAAAAATAAAGTCACTTACTGTTGTAATGATAAGGGAAAAAGTAAACTGGTTCAGCCTGTGTGTTCAGTAATGGAGCCAGGTTGTTTTTATGCACTGTAATTGTAGTCATCCATTATTCAGAAACTATACTAATGTTACATTAACAATTTACTAATAAATGTTTATAGGACGACTCTAACATTGGAATTAACATATCGGAAAAACCTAAACCTAGCAAAAGTAAGTCTGGCGGCAGACGTTTCACATATATATCTTGATCTATGATGTTGCATATATCGATGATATCATACATAAACCATAATGTGTTTCAAAGATCTTAATCAGCTGACTGTGAGACACGATTAAGGGAAACAAACAAGGGCATAGGGTTCATTACAACATTGTGGGGGGCATATATGTAACAGGGGGTTAGGGCTCCTCCCTCAGGAAATTTGGAGCATCAATTAACAGTTGTTTATTTTATTTTCTGCAATCTGGTGGATTTTTCTGCACAATTTGCATGCACATGTTCTAAATATTGACAGGGACGTGTCCCCTGCGTCCTCCCCTGAAATCCACACCTATAGATACAAAGGCAGACTCTCTCTGAGCTGTGGCGGAGCTAAACTGAGGAGGAGTGTTTTCCTGCTTCTCCCATATGTTGTACAATAAATGCAATACACAGCCTGGGTCCTAATTAAACATGTCGTCACGCAGTCTGCCTTCGATCGCTGCCATACATGTAACAGTGTGGCCATGTGGTGTTTCTCAGTTTGCCATACGACCTGTCTGTGAGCATTCATCATGTGTTTTTTTTTTTTTTTTTTTTTTAATGTATTTGTGCTCCTTGATTTTGTTACTCTTTTACTTGAAATGATCGTCACCATCAACTGTACAGGATATCTGACATAATCTTCCGTTGATATCAAGACAGTGCTGTTTCATGCCATATCACAGATACTATCTATGAAGGGTAAGTGAGTTGGAACAATGACTGATGAGATGTGGTTTTATCTTGTCATCATTTGGAAGGGATATAAATTTAAAAACCTACATAAGGGCAATGCATGCCGTTGTTAAAACTAAGATGTCATTCTTTCACGCATCATTCAGACACCCTTGTACTCTTCAGCCTCTCCTGTTAAATTGAAGTGATTGACTGATGAGCGTTGTAGGTTCCTGTTGGATGTCATCTTTTATAAACCATGTGAAATGACTAGCTTCCAGCCTCGGTCCTTCCCTGTTACAATCTTCAGGCGATTGTCAAACTGGTGAAAGAAAATGTTCACATTTTAAAGGCAGGAACATCTTCAAAGCAGTGCTGAATTGCAGCAGTGCACATCCTTCCATGTTGATCCACAATCACTGTAATTTAAGGTGGAAGCAAAAGCCTTTGGTTCAGTGTTGTGTGTGATGTCTTATCAGTGTGTGTTTGTGGTGAGGGTCTGACAGCTCCAGTGAGAGTGAGTTAAAGACGGCCAGTGAGGCGAGTTGGTACTGTATTTATTGCTGTATTTATTCCTCTGTGCTCAGCACCTCAAATCTTGCGTTGCATTGTACTGAGGGCAAGAAGCTGTCAATAAAGTGGGTCTGAAATGCTATTTTTTTTCCTAGTCAGAGTCAAGTTATCCTCCTCCTTTTGTTACTCTCTTAACAACAAACATCTGGTGTGAATGCTTTTCCATCTTTCAGAGGTAAATCACAATCTTGAAAAGGTCACATATTAAAAATGCTCTTTTTTGACTCTTAAATCACTTGAAATGTGTGACATTTTAAAGCGTAAGCAGGAAGTCTCAATGCTCCGACCTGACCCTGTTTATCTCCAGACTCCAGAGCTTTTTTTTTTTTTTTGTCTGCCTTCACACACGCTGCTAAGCATTAGGGCTAATTTGGAGTGTCGTTAAAAGGAAGTAGATGGGGCCGATTAGACAGCGGTCGATACGCTAGAGAGGCAAGGGTGCGGAGGAGACGGGGAGCAATTTGCAATCAGTGCAGTCAAGATCTCATACACAGATACATGCAGTATATACTTCGAGGCATAGTGTATGAGAAGTAAACATATTGCATAATATGTACATAAAGACTGAGTGTATATTGTCTGCTTGGGAGAATTTTGTTTTTAAGCCATTCATTCCATGGATAAAGAAAATGCTGTGTGTTGTAAATAAAATAAGTGCATAACGAGTGTGTCCTGGTATCGTGCTCTCACACACAAACACAAGTTTCATAGTTCATCACCTCAAGTACGCTTCTCCAACAAAGTGACACCATGGAGATGCACAATAAACCAGTTAGATGCAACATTAAAGGAAGACTTCACCCACAAAATAATGATTTGGACATCTCATCCCCCTGTTATGTTGACTTTGGGAAGATAAGTTGATTTTTCTTGCCTGCCTGCTCAGTGAACAAATCCAAAAATTGAGAATATTCCCAAGATACTGGAGAAAACGAAGGCAAAAATTCTTAGACACCCAGATCATGGTAGATGCCCATCCCAATACCCCCCTTAGCCCTACCCCTTGGCCCTACCCCTACATTTGCGCGTTCCTGCGAGGGGTAGTGGTGTCCCAATTCCTTTTTCCGTGTAGGGGTAGGGGACATAACGAGGGGTAGTGGGTATGAAACTAGCCCTTCGGAGCGAGGGATTTCAGATGCTGACTTGCCAGCGAGGGGTAGACGTCGCCATGGCTACCACCGAGCAAGAGACGGGGAAAAAGTTCATACATAGCTAACGTTACCATCGTCAGGTTGCTTGTTAGCTAGCTAGCTAGCTCGCACTCTCTGGCGTCTGTCATCTGTCCTGTTCTGCAAAATTGTCGGATTTTTCACATTACGATAACACGCCAGCTAGTATAACTATGCTGCCTCATAATGTTAGCTAGCTAGCTAGCTAGCAGAAGTCCCTTGTCGTACATATCTTATTATTTTAATGGTACGTTAGTAGCAAGCATAATAGTAGCTAACATTACCGTAACGTTGTAGATGCCAGTTGGAAATGCAGATGGCTCACGGCTTCCTGTTTAAAATAGTTACGAATGCGTGAACGTAACCGACGCGGTGACATCGTGAGTGGTGTCCCAATTCCTAGGGAAAGATTTCAACCCCTACCCCTCGTTGCTTCATTTCGAGGGCCAAGAGGTAGGGCCAAAGGCTAAGGGGTAGTGGACAAGGGGAGGTATTGGGATTGGGCCAAAGTTGCACAGTAGCTTCCCCATCGTTCTCTAGGAAAACCTCAGCTTGAGGAAGTCTGTCACAAACTGGCTCAGGGAATGTGACAAGGAGGGAGTACTTGCAAGGTTATACTTGAAACAATTAACGCTAAGGTTAATACAGATGAATGCTGGAGTGTGTAGGTCAGCCATGTCAGCATGAATGTGTGGTTAATGTGCTATGGTGGTGCTGAAGGTGTCGACCAAAAGACAGTAATGCAGTCTGGAAGCTGTAGGGAAGGACGGGACAAAGTGAACACAGAGGCCAGCTTTTATCGCCTAAGGGCCAAGGTGAGCTTAATTAAGCTGACGACCCTCACATGTCAGTCAGAGAGAGGGGCGTCACCTGATTCAGGTTTGGTTTCAGATCTACAAAAGTCACACTTCAACAAACATATCTGAATTTAAAATGTATGTCCGTCTGTCCTTTGTGAAATAAACAAATTCTTTAATTATATGGTAGAAAACAAAATAGTCATGGACAGATCAGAGGATTTTGTTGGTTCAACAATCTGAAAAGACATCTTTTATTTCATTTGTGGCAGTAGGAGAAAAAATGCTTCACATTTTGTTGAGTAGAAAAGCGTCTAACCGTTTTCAGGCTGCTATTCGGTATCATGGAGGCAAAGACTGGATGGACTGATATATTATTAGTCAAGCTGTGTAATGTCTTGTCTGTCTATATATTTACTGTATCTTTCAGGGGTTTTGTGAATTTAGTACACTTATTATTTTCTCCTTTTTCTCCCTCTGACGGCACAATATTTATTTGTCAATATATAGTTCCTGCTGTACATATCTATATTGGTATATATCAGTCTCATATGAGTATGTGGACTGGTCTACAGTTGAGGCAGCAGCTAGCAGCAGGAGCGTGGTTGTAGCTGGAGGTGGTGTCTTCCGGAGCATTCGGCCCCTCGCTGTGAAGCCTTTTAAAGTTCCTATGAGATGAACAACAAAAAAACAACAACAGCGCATCTCCGGTGGATTCCTCATGCGTCACCAGTGGGTGTAACTAAGATGTGAAACCAGTAAAGGCTGCCTTTCTTTTCGTAACTATCAGATGCGGCCCAGAGGAACCCTGCTGGACCATGATGATCATGTAATCACAGCTTCCCTGTTGGAGTGCAGCTGTGGACCTTTGCTGTGTGTTATTCGTCATCTCCCTCCTCTCATTTCCTGTGTGCTCTCTAATGTTCCCTAAAATACCTCACAAATGAAGTAATGATAGAATGTTATGCAACCTTTAAAGGTCCCATGATATTTGGAGGTCACCCCTAAAGGAATACTTCATCCCCTAGATGATCATTTGCTTATTTATTACTCATCCTGTGTTACGTTGAATTCCGGAAGAACACTTTGTTTTCCTCGCATGCCTCCGCAGGGAACAAAGAATCCAGAAAAGGAGAAAATTCTTGATGAATTAACAGCAAAACTATATCAAAACATCCATTTATCCAGTCATATGCTGTCCAAACAGACGGCCCTTTCAACAGGGAACTGAACGAAATGTAAAACTTAATCAATGCTCTCATTAAACGCTGAACACAAGGAGCTGCTGGTCCACCTTGTCTCAATCAGTAAGTTAGTTTGTGTTACTGTGTGACTTTGGTCAGTCTGAATTAACCCTTTAAGACCAAATCAAAGCAAGAAGCGATGAGTTGATTGTGAGGAGCACGATGGGATGGCTGATGTAAGAGAAGGACCATATAGCTGCGTCCATCATTGGATCTTTACCAACCTTCCCTAAACAAAAAAACAATCACACACATACTTAAGCAACAAAACTGACTAACCAAACACCAGATTCAGGTCATGTGAAAGTATTTTCTTATCTTTTCTTTGGGTCACGCTCTGACAGGCAGATCACATTTTAAACAGCCATGAAGACACATGGTCTCCTGAGACCAGTCAGTCCGTGAATAGCACAGAGTCCCAATCAGGTTCAGACCTCCCATTTCACTTCCATCCAGGTTAGTCATTAAGGTCCCCTTGCAAGCAGAACTAATGAGTCCCCAAACGGCAACATCTCCAGGACTCCACCTAAAGACTTGGAGAGGGTCCTCTACTCTGAGCAACTACTTGGTACACAGAGTTTCCTTAGTTTGGCACGCAGTCTCACAAAGGCTCCCCTCTTGTGTTTGGGGACCGTGTGCCCTCAACAACAACAGCTCCAAGGACCACAAAAACAATCACAACAAGGTTTTTGGAGGTCTACGGAAACATGCCAACTCTTAATGACACTGGTGCACATTGAGTCTGTAACAAAAGGTCTGTGGAGTGAAACAAAGAGACCTGAAGGCAGCGAACAAATTGGCTTCTTCAGGCTCTGGCAAGTGAATTTTCTCTGCTGCCATCAGGGCATCAAAATTATTTATCCACTCTGCAAGCCAACTTTTAAATGCTTCTTAACCTCCTGAGACCCAAACTTTTGTTTGGTTCACATTTTTGATTTCTCCTTGCTATTTGGTATTAGAAGGATCTGATAAGTATAAAAACTAAACATTATCAGTGATAATAAAGTCCCAATGTCCTTTAACGAGCTGATGAGAAATTCCTTGTCTTTAAATGAATACTTCCTATTGACGAAATCCGTTGTCATATTAAACTACAAATGTTACTAATCACAAGTCTTACCCATCGGATGTATTCAGGTTGTGTACCTTGTCAACATTTGTGTCAGAGTTGGCTGCAGACTGACGTGGCAGAGATGGCTGCCATCTTGTTTTTACATTTACATTGGTGTATTGTGACCATAAGATCTATGGTCATAAACTCTGGGTAGTGACCAAAAGAATGAGATCGCGGATACAAGCAGTGGAAATGAGTTTCTCCCGTGGGGTGTCTGGGCTCAGCCTTAGAGATAGGGTGAGGAGCTCAGACATCCGGAGGGAGCTTAGAGTAGAGCCGCTGCTCCTTCGCGTCGAAAGGGTCAGTTGAGGTGGCTCAGGCATCTGATCGGGATCCTCCTGGGTGCCTCCCGCTGGAGGTGTTCCGGGCACGTCCCACTGGTAGGAGGCCCCGGGGCAGACCCAGGACACGCTGGAGGGATTATATACCTCGTCTGGCCTGGGAACGCCTTGGGGTCCCCCAGGAGGAGCTGGAAAGTGTTGCTGGAGAGAGGGACGTCTGGAGTGCTTTGCTTGGCCTGCTGTCCCCACAACCCGGCCCCAGATAAGTGGATGAAAATGGATGGATGGATGGATTGGTGTACTGTGCTCTTACTGCCACTAGATGGCATAAAAAAGTGTCCACGAACGAGGACAACAGGTTTAAGTTAGGCAGAATGAAGCATAAAGTCAAGGAAACCCCAAATGTAATGTCCCCGTATGAGGACACAGGGTCTCAGGAGGTGAAGTTAGATTTTATTCCATATTCCATATAGTGTGTTTGTTTGTTTGTATGTTACTGTGTGTCTCTGTGTAGAAGCTGCTCACAACTAATTGCTTCAAGCAGGATTAATGAAGTTGCTTGAATTAGACGTTTTGTCAATTCGTGGTCTGTCACTGGTATAGCAGATCTGACGATTAGAGTCCCTTTTATGTCCAGATGCTAAAATGTTTTAAATTGCAGTAAACGGTAATTACTGTATTTTGGTTTTTTTTCAAATGGGTTAACTGCACTCATGTCACAGCTTCTATAAATCAAGATGAGCTGTGTGTGTGTGCATGTCTGTGTGTGTGTGCTTGTTGTTTCAGTGACCGTGGCTGATTAAAATGTTCCTCTATGAAATCACAAGATTCTTCAATTCCACATGAACATGAATAACAAATGATGTGCATGACATTATTTAATTATTCATTGACAGTGTCGAGTGGCTGGTCATTGACAAAATAGTTTACTAATTAGCTTTGTTTATTTAGCTTTGAATGAGTGAATCAGAATGAAAATTAAAAATAAAAACCATATCTCAAACTGTGATATCAAGCCACGCAGACAGATTTTTTCCATCCAAGTTTTGAGATATGGTTT